GTTGTTTTTGTTTAGGACAAAAACTACAAGGTCCAGATGCAGCTGCTGAAGTTATGGACTGGCTAAAATCAAAAGAACAAACGAACAGATATGTTACTGATAAAATTATATGCGTAGACGTTTTTTTGGTTGATAATCAACTATACATATTGTGATTGGTATTTTTGTTGTGATTTTTGAGTGGATTAATCAATAGCGGGAACAGATAATCTGAATCTAATTCTAGTATTCCATTTAGGACTGTTCTGAGACTGTTGCTCGTTTCTATAAGTGCAGGATGATCCAAAAGTTTTGGTCGAACTTAGAAAAAGAAATTCTGAAAATTTTCTAAGTTCGACCGAGACTTTTGGATCATCCTGTAGTACCGACGAAAAGTTATATCAACCTTGGTAAATAAGTGGTCACACTTTTTTACGACAACAGATTTCTGCTTAGTAACTCTGCTTCTGGAGAATTATTTATTGCTGCATAAAATTATGCTCTCTGTTCTATCGCTTTCAACATAATGATACATTTTTGATTTTGTTTAGGTTTCCATTATTTTCGGCTGTCCATGGCATTTGTGAACGTCAACTTGAACCAAAATTATTACTCGAAGCTTTACGCTATCATCCAGAATATACCATGTAACCATAATCTATGTATTTCATGCAGTTGATGACTTATCGCATAGGTCAAAAGTTTCTAGACAATTTTGTTCATTTCTCTACGATAATAACACTTTTTCTCATTAAACAACGTAGTTCTGGTCCTTGGATTGATGCCTATTGGGTTTAACACAACTTACACAAGACAAAAATATCTCATATGAGAGTTGATTTTTTAAAATATTTTTTGATGTTATACAATTTTTTTAATAAATTCAAACTACACAAATCTCTTGTTTTCCAAAAATATGAAACCGACATACCTTTTTTTATCGTACATAAAACTCTAATTTTATTAACGAATCACCCACCCGGACTGAAATGTATAACAATTCTGTTTAACACAACTTACTTGCAGTACAAGAATAGTCTAATCTATTTTCATCAATAAAAAAGATAACGCGAAAAAATTTTGTAAGTTAAAGCATTACGAGCATTTCAACGACGACATCTTAGTTCATCTTTCCAGAGAGTTAATATCAAGAGAACAAAAACATCTTGCAAAGGAGTCGAAAGGTTCACTGGCATCCATTACTATAGACGCCTTTAAGTTTGAGAGCAATACTGACCACTAGAAAACCTGACTGAACTTATGTATGATATTAAACACATATTCTATATTATATAAAAGTAAACAAAATTCTGAACAAAATCTACTATTTATTGTGTCACTCAAACGCAAAAGAAAACATGTCAGAAAACGACTTTACCGCAGAAGCTGTTTCTCAAATGCAACAGAAGGCACATA